CTTATTTTACCTGCTGTATACACACAGACATGTATACCACACTCAGTAACCAGTCAGAACCCCCCGGAGCAGAACACCTGAAAAAAAAAAATAAAACAAATCAAAAAATATATAAAAATAAAAAAACAAGAATGCCAAGATTTCATTATTTTGTTTTTTTTTTCTTATTATTTCCAACAACTAAGCATAAATGTTTTTATGCTTCTGCAGTCATAACTGGAACCATCTGGATTCTCAGATGGATGTAATGGATCAGCACCTGCAGTGGCCCTCTGAGAGCCAGAATTGTGTTTAGGGCCTCTAATGCAGGGCTTCCCCATCACCAGGCCAGCAGCACACAGTCATCTTAAAGCTCTGTGTCCACACTTTACTCCCTCTTCCATTTATTAGGAGACAGACATTATCAAGCTATAAACACAGATCACATCTTTTTTTATTTCGTATTACTGGGATAAAGCCCGTTTTTTTTCTTCCAAAGACAAAAAGACTTTTGTCTTTAAAGGATTCCTTGTTTGACTTTAAACAACAAGGCTCAGTTCGTTCATGGCAATGACCACAGCTCAGAGTGTGGACATTTAGGACACATGAGAGTCCAATGAAAGACCCTATCAAGTTTGATTATAGGAAGCGTAAGATCCAGTGTGCTCGGAGCCTCTGGAGAATGATTTTAGCCACTTTTATGGAGCTCTTGCAAGTTCCTGACCTTTGTAACCCACATTTTAAATAATGCTATGTTTGTTTTATGGACACTCAGATTTTAACTGATTGGATTGTCACCCATCACTAAAAGACGTGATTATGTTTTCACCTGTTTCTGTGTGTTTGTGCTTTTTTCTCTTCTTTATTTTTGTCCGGATGTTGAAAACTCAGTAATAATAGACGCACTGTACAACTACAGCTGCTTAATATTTGCAGAGATGGCCACCAGAGCTAAGTGACCTTGGCCTACACAAACATGTCTCTAACTTAAATCATTTTACAGATACTGAGCTAAAATTTGGTGCGGTATCAGTAAGGAGGTATTCTTATGTGAGACTGTGCCAAACATTTTCAAGACTCTAATTTCTTAACTTAAGGTAAAACTCTGGCATGGATGGTGGCAGACAAATTACCTATTCCTTCAAGAAATGTCAGGCATTTCATTTTATAAAAGTTTCCACATATTACAACTCCTAAAGTAGTTTCTAAAACCAGCATCAGGATATTAATTTTCACAACAACTTTGTGGAATTATGGTGTTTTCAGAAAAGAAAAGAAAAACAGAAAGAAAGAAACAAACAAACAAAAAAAGATCCTAACAAAAAAAGGAGCGTTTCATATGAACCTTTTCTTAGAACTCACAGGAGCTTTTCCTTGACCTCTTCCAGCAGAGTTCCAGAGGCGTGATTAGAGAATTTCTACTTTTCAGATGAGCTCAAACTGTTGCTCCAACAATGTGCAGGGCTGAAGATGTCGAGCAGTTTTACAAGCAGGCAGGTGCTTCTCTCTCAGCTTCTTTCTGTATGAAGGACGATTAGGGCCACGGTGCACAAATTAAAGTTTATTTTTTTTCCTAATTCAGATTTTTTTCTTTATTAGAATTCTGAATGGAAAAAAAAAAGTTTATTTTTCCAAACATGAACAATTATTCCTGCAGTACGACCTAAAATTAACAGACACTACTGCAGAAATTCAAAAAAATAAATGATTAGAACAACCACGTCACAAAAAATATATTTATATTTTCTTCTGAATTCTGAGATTAAATTTAGAATTCTAAGAAAAAAATGTCAAAATTCAAGAAATTAAAGCAAATTTGGGCTGTGGCCATAGACCTTTTTCATATTTCTGGAGTAGTATCTGTTAACTTTAGGTCATACTGCAGCAATAATTGTTCTTGTTTAAAAAATAAATAAAGAAACATTTAATCCCAGTCCCTCATGCAGTTTCAATCTACTAAGAAAACTTAGATTATTCCAGCTGTGGTGCAGACAAACTGGCTGGTGTTAGTTGATACTGGTTTAAGTATTTCAACAGTAGTTCAGTTTAATTACAGAGACTGTTGAGGTTAATCTCTCTAAATAACAAGGGACAGACATTTAACTTTTTAAAAATATATCTACCTTTTGTGGCCTACCTACTGTCAGTCATCTCTGCTGGTAAATAAACATAAAGTCAAGTCTCTGTTGTTCTATTTGTTCGTTTCTTTCTATCATTTTCTCCCTTATAGAAGCTGCTCGTTGGGGATTTCCCTCATGAACTGGAGGTGGACGACATAGAAGAAGACGTGCCGAAGCGCAAGAACCGTACCAAAGCACGGGTAGGAGAACATTCCGTTCTCAGCCTCAGATTTAGCTGTCAGTGTGAGAAGGTGAACGTTATCCAAACGACTGTCGAACAGCGGTGGGTCAGAAACTGTAACTTTTGTTCCTCCACATGGCTGTATGTCACACAGTGTGACGTGTAATCATTCTCTGTACACTACAGTGTGCAGTGAGATTTCATCAGACATCCCAGGACTTCTGATGATTAAAAGCAAACAGATCGAGAGATTAAATCAAGCTGGGATGACCTCATTTTTTCTTTTTTTTTTTTTTACAACTTTGATTAGAGCGGAGAGGGTTTTTTTTCTCCCCACTCTTAATGTGCATCCTATTGGAGGATAATCAAGTGTTAACAATGTATTCTCAAACTCAACCCACACACATGCAGTACACACACACACACACACACACACACACACACACACACACACAC